GCTTGCAGGAGGCTCTGGCGAAGGTTACTGACCTCAGTCTGCAAAGTGGACCTTGGCGCTCAGCCTCACAGATGCTTCAGTATGCAGATGATTTTGTTTTGTTTTGTTTTGTTTTGTTTTTTGGTAGAGATGGGTTCTCATTATGTTGCCCAGGCTGGTCTCAAACTCGTCAGCTCAAACAATCCTCCTGCCTCGGACTCCCAGAGTTTTGGGATTGGAGGCGTGAGCCACCGTGCCCAGCCAGACGATGTTTTCAATCTGAGTAAAAAGGTAGTTTTGGAAGATGACTGGGTAAAGAAGGAGTGTCTTTGCCAGCTGGTGTGTAACATAAAGAAAGAGTGTCTTTGTTAACTGGCATGGAACACAAAGCCCAAGATCTAAATGAAGGTCAGTGATAACACTTTTCTTTTTTCTAATTAAATAATTGTCTCAGCAGTTTACAGAGAACTACATTTGTGTTTTCACTTTCATATCTGTGTACTCATGATGTGTCCAAATCATGCATTTATCATATAGTATTGTTTTTAATTCTGGTTAAAAAATATATTAAGCCGGCCGGGCGCGGTGGCTCACGCCTGTAATCCCAGCACTTTGGGAGGCCGAGGCGGGCAGATCACGAGGTCAGGAGATCGAGACCATCCTGGCTAACACGGTGAAACCCCATCTCTACTAAAAAATACAAAAAACTAGCCGGGCGAGGTGGCGGGCGCCTGTAGTCCCAGCTACTCGGGAGGCTGAGGCAGGAGAATGGCGTGAACCCAGGAGGCGGAGCTTGCAGTGAGCTGAGATCCGGCCACTGCACTCCAGCCTGGGCGAGAGCGAGACTCCGTCTCAAAAAAAAATATATATATATATATATTAAGCCAGGCATGGTGTCCTGCCTGTAGTTCCACCTACTGGGAAGGTTGAGGTGGGAAGACTGCCTGAGCCCAGGAGTTCAAGTCTATAGTGAGCTATGATACAATCCACTGCACTCCAGGCTGAGCAACATAGCAAGACCCTGTCTATAAAAATATAAATACTATATATGTATATTGGGGCCAAATGCTATGTTCTGTATTTAAATTCTAATTACTTGTTAGATGTTAAGCTTGTCTATATGCTGATGTTTAGACTGAGAAGTGATGGATTCATAATTGCCTTTATAAACAGGCAATGTCTACTTCGATCTGACGTCTAGAGGAGACAAGTATGGCAAACTGGTCGGCGTGGTCCCTGGTCCAGTCGGAGAGCCAGGTGGGTTGACCGGGCTCAGCCCTGTGGGTCCCTGACCTCTGCCTCGGGTCCCAGTTCTGGGGAGATGAGATCTGGAGCGCAGACCCCTCCATTTGCTCAGACACTGGCGGTACCCAGGTGCCACCTGTGTTTTAAATTTAATTTGGTTTCTCTGGATGGCTCCAGCTTGTGAGGCATAAAGTTCAAATGGCAAGTAGGGCATCGTCCACCCCCGCCACCAGCGTGCCTGGCTCCACTCCCTGGAGACAGTGCTGGTCTCCTGTTTCCTTCCCAGGATTTTCAGTGCACATGAAAACCTCATACACGTCCGTCATATTTTCGCATTCTTCTGTGTTTTGCTGTTACCGTACATTTAATTCCCATATGTGTCTTAACCATGTGTTAAACTTCCAATCTATTTGAATCTCTTCCTTGCTCTATTCTATTCCAGGGAGTTATTATGTCAAAACCATTTTTATGGAGAAGAAATAGTAAGTGCAGTATATGGAACTAAATTTAAAATAATTTGAAAAGCGTAGTGTTTAGGGAACCAAACAAGAATAACAGGGACAAACCCTAGAGATTGTTCAAGGTGTTTCTGGTTTTAGGCACTGTCTTTCTGCCCCATAAACTGCTGATGAATCCTAATCATCCACAGCACTGACCCCTCAGGTTCGTTCCTTCACCCTCTGTGCTGTCCTGTCCCACTCCCTGTACGGGCCGGAACACAGAAGCCCATGTGTTCCACGTGTGAGGCATGGCTACCAGCAGGCCGTGTGGGCTGTGCTTAACACGTGTGGAGAAGTTTCTGAGAGTTGTACATTCTGGCATCAGGAGGGTTTTTAAAAATTATTTATTTAATAGATTTGTTTTTTAGAGCCATTTTAGCTTCATAGCAAATTTGAGAGTAAGGTACGGAGAATTCCTCTCTACCTGCTACCCTCCACGTCGCCCCCCACACTGTCAGCATCCCCCACCATTGACACATCAGGTTCGCCCAGAGACCGGAGTTGGCGTCAGGGTTCACTCTCGGCGCTGTGTGCTCTGGGTTTGGGTGAATGTATAGTGACATGTTTCCACCGTTACAGCATCACACAGGATACCTGCACTGCCCTGAAAAATCCTTTGTGGTCCGTCTGCTCATCCCTCCCTCTTTCCCATCCCTGGAAATCCCTGGTCTTTCCACAGTCTCCAGTTTTGCCTTTTCTAGATTGTCATATAGTTGGAGTCACATACTGTGCACCCTTCTCAGAACGGCTTCTCTCACTTAGGAATACACAGTAGTTTTCCTCCATGTCTCTTCATGGCTGAGAGCTCGTTTCTCTTTAACACTGAGTCACATCCCAGTGTCTGAATTTACAGCAGCTTACCCACTCACCTACTGAAGGGCATCTTCACTGCTTCTGAGTTTTGGCAATTATGAATAAAGCTGCTGTAAACATCCACGTGCAGGTTTTCAGCTCATCTGGGCAAATACCAAGGAGCACAATTGCTGGGTCCTCTGGGAAGAGCCTTATTTGTGTAAGAAACTGCCCAGCTTCTTCCAGAGCGGCTCCACCATTTTGCATCCCCACCAGTGAGGAATGATTCTGTCATTCCACATCTTCACAGCTGTGCTTTTTAAAATAAAAAAATATTTTCTTCTACAAAAGCAACATATTTATATAATTTATAATGGTACAAAATTAGGAAATAGAATTACACAAAACAAAGATAATAAAATCACCATTTTTACATATGGTGAAAAAAGAGTTTAATGCGTTAGCGTATGTTACTTCCAAAGCAATGGTGTTTTCATTTTAATTTTAAATTTAAATTGTTATAATAACACAATAGAAAACACTATTAAAAAATGTCCAACTTGGTTGAGCATGGTGGCTCACACCTGTAATCCCAGCACTTTAGGAGGCCAAGGTGGGAGGATCACTCGAGGCCGGGAGTTCAAGACCAGCCTGGGTAATGTAGTGAGACCCCTTACTGTCTCTGCCAAACAAACAAAAATGCCCAGCTCAGTGAATTTGTGTTCAGTGGAGACCCCGCGGTCACCACCTAGTGGAAGGAGACCACAATGGCAAGGGAGTGAAGGCACCTGGGTCCTCCGGGTGCCACGCCCTGGCCACCAGCCTCCCTGCCCTGCTTTGGAGGCAACTACTGCCATAACTCTGACAGCGGCCACCTCCTCATCTTTCTGAGTGGGTTTAATTGCTCAAACACGTGTCCCTAAACACGACACTTAGCCTTAGCTGTTTCTTACTTGTGTCTTCTTGTTTTTAGTCCTTACGTCCCTCCCCTGGCTTTTCCTCCTTGCTGCTCGTTTGCGGGATAAACATCATGTGTCTCACGGTTCCCGCAGTGGGATTTCGCCTGCTCTGAGTTTTGGAGTGTCTGTAACATTTCCCTCTGTCCTGTGTGTGTTTTGCAAATTGGTAGTTGAATCTAGAGGCTTAATCCAGTTCTAAATTTCTGGAGAAGGCTACTTTGTAGATGGTGTGTATATTCCTCACTGGGAGACACTAAGGGCTGTACCTCTCTGTGTGTGAGCAGCTCTGGCCGCTCTAGGCTTAGATCCTTCACTGCAAAAGGAGGGTGCATGGTGGCGCAACTCCCATTCCATCATTTCTGCTTTATTTGCTGGAATACCTTTTTGGTTTGTTTTTTGAGATGGAATCTCGCTCTGTTGCCCAGGCTAGAGTGCAGTGGCATGATCTCGGTTCACTGCAACCTCCACCTCCCAGGTTCAAGCAATTCTCCTTGCCTCAGCCTCCAAAGTGTTGGGATTATAGGGGCATGCCATCACACCCAGCTAATGTTTGTATTTTTAGTAGAGATGGGGTTTCGCCATGTTGGCCAGGGTGGTCTTGAACTCCTGACCTCAGGTGATCACTCCCCTCGGCCTCCCAAAGTACTGGGGTTATAGGTGTGAGCCACCGCGCCTGGCCCATTTGCTGGAATACTTTTATATAGGCAGACTGTCGTCTGGTTACTCGGTGGTACAGTTTGTATAAGAAAGGTAGGACCTTTTCCTTAATTGACCAGTTTTCAAAATAAGGAGTTGGCTTCCATATCTTCCTCTGGCGGTGACCAGTTCCTGTTCTTTCATTGTTGAGAGCTCGTGGGCTTCACTGCACGTGCCGTTTTAATCCATTGCTGCCGTCACCTTATTGAGCCTCGGCTTGCCCCCTCTTTTGCTGATGGGAGCAACTCCCAAGTCCCTTACACTCAGCCCTGTTGTAGTTGATAGTTTTGTGGCTGTCCGATAAGATAAGATATTCCTGGCTCATCTTGAAATAAGCTGTTTTTCCTGGGAGCCCCATTTTTCTCTTTTCTTTCTTTCCTTTTCTTCCTTTCCCTTTCCCTTTTTCCTTTTTCCTTTTTCCTTTCCTTTCCTTTCCTTTCCTTTCCTTTCCCCTTTCCTTTCCCCTTTCCTTTCCCCTTTCCTTTCCCCTTCCCTTTCCCCTTTCCTTTCCCCTTTCCTTTCCCCTTTCCTTTCCTTTTTTTTTTGAGACAGAGTGTCACTGTTGTTCAGGCTGGAGTCCAATGGCGTGATCTCGGCTCACTGCAACCCCTGCCTTCCGGGCTCAAGCGATTCTCCTGCCTCAGCCTCCAGAGTAGCTGGGATTACAGGCGCCCGCCACCATGCCTGGTTAATTTTTGTATTTTTAGTAGAGACGCGGTTTTGTCATATTGGTCAGGCTGGTCTCGAACTCCTGACCTCAGGTGATCCACCCGCCTCGGCCTCCCAAAGTCCTGAGTTTCTAGGCGTGAGCCACCGCGCCCGGCTCCCGTTTTTCTTTTGATGGGAAGCGGTGTTTTGAGAACACAGCGTGGGCACCGCGCATGCTCGTTGCTGCCGTCTGTCGTTGTTTCCTGGCCTCTCCCGTAGACTGAGGTGATGAACACATGTGCTCCGTAGGTCGCACTGATACTCATATTCCAGGCCGCGGGGTTTCATTAACCCCTCTGTCTGTTCACATGTGTGGTTCCCTTTTCCCCTGTGGCAAATCCTGGCCTTTCAGGACACCAGGTGTGACAGGATACCCAGTGGGCATCCACCTGCTTTAGTCCATCAGGGACCAGCCCTGCCCTAGGCTTGACCACGATTATAAGTTTCCCATGCACGTGCCTCCTCCCCACCCCCACGTGTCTGTGTGTCCGAGTGCCCAGCCTCTGCCTGCGCTGCCTCCTGCAGCCCCGCCCACTCTCCCCCATTCCTGCCATCTCCAGGTCCGCGTTCTCCCTGTTGTTTTTGAAGCTCATTCCCCAGCACTTTCTGAAGGAAGAGCCCTTTTTCAGGAACAGTAGTCCCTGAATTTGTGCCTGTGGATGACAGTGTGCTGCCTTCCACCTCAAAGTCAGTTTGGCTGGAAATACAATCCTTGGCCACATTTTCTGTCCTTAAGTATTTTCCTTCAGCATAGGGTGTTACTGATGCTCTCATTTTCCGTGCACTGTGTAGGAATTGTTCTGTTTGCTCGGACAATTCCTATAATAACAGGATGTTGTCCTTACTGAAATGACTAGCCATGAAAACATAGCCTGTCCAGTCCGACCCAGGAAAAGCATCCGTGTCTGCACCAAAACGGTTCAACCTCTCTAAATTCATCAAAGGTGATGGACGCCTGTGTCAGCGCTCCCGGGTGGAAAGGGTGATATCAGGACGTTGTGCACATGGGGGCATGCCTGTCCTGGGCAGATGGGACACTGGGTTTTGGTGAGCATGCACCCCTGGCAGCCTCGCCACACGGTGACAGGCACGTCGCTCAGAGTCTCAGGTCCACCTGACATGATCACACACTTTTCACTCTGTGTGATTAGTATCTTTTTGGAAAAAAACAGCCCTGCAACTCAGTTACTGATAAACAGAGCATTTCTCGTCAGACAGAATAAGGAAAAATGGGAAAACCCCACCCAGTCCACAGTACATTCCTGAGAAATGAGCGTCTGTGGGTTCCCGGCCGCCCACCTCTCCCTGTGCGCTGGGGCATCTGAGATGAAAGCGTTGCCGGTGCTCCTGTTCCTCACGTGGGTGAAACAGGAGTGAGCAAGAAGTGCAGGTCTCCTTCAAAGAGAAACCACCCGGGGCGCGCTGCCCACCGGCAGCTGCAGGGGCTTCCGTCAGGGTGGCTGGCTGGATTTCCCTGGTGAGGGTGACTGGCTGAGTTTCTGTGGTGGGGGGTGACTATCTGGGCTTCTGTGGTGGGGGTGAGGTGGTGGTGACAGCCTCGGCTTCCCTGATGGGGTGACAGTCTGGGCTTCCATGGTAGGGGTGACAGTCTGAGCGTCTGTGGTGGGGTAACTGTCTGGGTTTCTGTGGCAGGGTGACCATCTGGGTTTCTGTGGTGGGGTGACTGGGTGACTGAGTTTCCATGGTGGGGTGACTGGGTTTCCGTGGTGGGGGTGACTGGGTTTCCGTGGTGGGGTGATTGAGTTTCCATGGTAGGGTAACTGGGTTTCCGTGGTTGGGGTAACTGGGTTTCCGTGGTGGGGGTGACTGGGTTTCCGTGGTGGGAGTGACTGTCTGGGTTTCTGTGGTGGGGGTGACTGTTTGGGTTTCTGTGGTGGGGTGACTGGGTTTCCGTGGTGGGAGTGACTGTCTGGGTTTCTGTGGTGGGGTGACTGTCTGGGTTTCCGTGGTGGGGGTGACTGGGTTTCCGTGGTGGGGTGTCTGGGTTTCTGTGGTGGGGGTGACTATCTGGGTTTCCGTGGTGGGAGTGACTGTTTGGGTTTCCGTGGTGGGGTGACTGGGTTTCTATGGTGGGGGTGACTGTGGGTTTCCGTTGGGGGGGGTGACTGTAGGTTTCCGTGGTGGGGGTGACTGACTGGGTTGTGTTACGTAATATATAAATACATAAAATAAAATGCAAAAATTAGCTGGGCAGGTGGCGACGCCAGAATCTCAGCTACTGTGGAGGCTGAAGCAGGAGGACTGTTGAACCAGAGGCAGACGGTGAACCCGGATTTCATGTCACTGCAATTGTCTGGTGATGAGCAAGGCTGGCCTCAAAACAAAAAAGCAAAGCAAAGAAAGATGATAGAATCACTGCTTGAAGAAAGCAAAAACAATTACATGAATTTTATGAAGATAGAAGATACTATTGTTAATTTAAAAATTATGATGTTCTATGAACAATTGAAATATGCGAGATGTCCAGATTCATGTGCAGATTTGATCTTCATAGGAGCATATTATGCTTGCTTTCAGAATCTGTGCTCCAGTTATTTCCTTGAATCCATTTGTTCTCAGATTGCTGAGTTTCGTTAATTTATTTATTTATTTGGTACATCTAAGATCGAACTAGCTATCAGATTTACTATTCAGATTTTCTCCACTCCGCCCAGGAACTTTCATGAAGGGATTAATCATCAACATCTCAACAAGCCCTTCTTTCTTTTTAAATTTTTTTCCGTTTACAGCAAAACAACAACAACAAACAAAATAAAACCTTAAGTCCTTTCTGAACTTAGTGTGGCATGGTGAGAGAAGTCGTTAATGTATGAATTGATGCACTGAGAGATAACATACACATTATACTTGTTGCAAAACATAAGGCAGGAAGAAGTGATAATATTCAGGAGAATTTAGAGAAAGTTAGGCAAGATGAGTGTTTAGCAATGATGGTGCAATATGGTCTCTTAATTTAAGTATTTTAACTTGTTAAATTAGACCATAGATTACATGAGACTACAGTTAGCTTGAAACAGAATTGCAGAGTTGGACTCCAGGATATTGAGAAACTACTCTAGGTACACACTTGTTTGTTCTAAACCTTTGCTTTTTAATAAAACACCAAAGCAAACTAAAAAAAAAAAAACAACAAACAATAAAACAATAAAAAACCAGAACCTCTCTTGTTTTGAGAACTGAAAAGCAAAGGGACTTTTTTTCTTTTTTTTGAGATATTATATTGCAAGACACCATTAGAGGCACCTTTTTTTTTTTTTTTTCAGATGATTCTCATGCCCAGGTTGAGGCAGGGCGATCCAGCTTCACACAACCCCCACCCCGCCCCACGCGCCCTCTTCATTCTCCTGTCTCAGCCTCCCAGCCAGGACTACAGGTGCACGCCACCACGCCCAGCCATTTACATTTAGCAGAGACAGGGCTTCACATTGGTCAGGCTGGTCTCGAACTCCTGACCTCAGGATCCCGCCACCTCAGCCTCCAAAAGTGCCGGGATTATAATGATCACTGCGCCACTCAATGAGAGGCACATTTGTCTGATAATGTGAGTAACTTTCAGAATGTTTTTGTTCTCAGATACCTGATCATGGAACTTTTCACCTTAAGATTATCCTCACACATTACTGCCAATTGACACGTAGCCTTAGCTTTGGTCATTTCATCCAGAGACCCCAGGAGAGTGTTGGAAATGCAGACATGCTAAGGTGTGGTGGGGGATGCACGCTGTGTACTACTGGAGTATGTAGGGTGTGGGGTTGAGACACACTGTGCATTGGGCACACTAAAATAGTGTAGATGTGTGGGCCTACACGAGTATTGAGGTGCACATTGCATTGGGATGATGCTTTGTTGGATGTGCTTAATGTGTTGTGCAAAAACAACTGCACTAAAAAGACATGGAAGTTAGAGGCATAGCCATTACAAGTTACACTGTATTGGTGTGTATACTGTACTGGCTGCATCCGCATTGTGAAAACACTGGCTGGGATGCAGATCAGCTGGTCGCACACTGTATCATGCACTGTTGGGGATGCTGATGTGTGCCAGGTGCACACTATATTGGGGGTGTGGATGGGTTGGCACACCATGAGTGCTCACGCAAGCAGTGGTGACCCTGGGGTATTAGCGGTGTTGACTCTGGAGGTGCTGGGAGTACACGCCGCTGCACAGGCCAGGTCACAGGTGAAGTTGCACGTAAACCGCCTTCATGTTGGCGCAATACAGGTCTGCATGGAAGGGCAACACTTACGCCTCGCCAATCGGGCCACTAAGGAGAGGAGATCGGCACGGTCCTGCCTCTTCCCACGCCTCCCGGCGCGGCACTGCCTTCCTCCTCCACCCCTGGCCTCGCGCCCACCCCCGTCGGGCCCTGGTTCTCCACCCTGGCGGCGGGCGACTCCTGAGCTAGGGGCTAGCAGAGGCGTGGCGCCACCGAGGACCATCGAAGCGGGCGGGCCTCAAGGGAGTGGGCGGGGCGGGAAGAAAGGCTGCGCGCTGGGCCGCGTCCCCGGTGTGGCCTCGCCCGCCCAGCCGCAGGTCGTAGTCGCCGACACGCCGAGCACACGCGGTCGGGCGCCCGCTGCTCCAGGCCGCGCTGGGCCAATGGCTGGGTGGTACTGGTCGGCGGGCCAGTGGCGAGCGGAGGACGCGGCGGGCCCTGGCTGCCTTACTGGCTGAGACGGGCGTGGCGTGCAACAGCCTCACTGAAGGAAGAACCCTTAATCGGCACGCCGAAGCCGGTTTCCGGTGGGCTGTATGGATCTGGGGTGATGGGCGGTCGAGTGGCAGACTTCTCGCCAGCTGGAATGGACCTGGCCTCGGGGAGGCGCTTGAGGGCTGGCATGAGGTGTCGCCCAATGGAATGCGCAGTGCATTTTGCAGCTTGGGTATGAATTGAGCAAGTATGATAAACCCGGCCATTCATCCTGCAGGAAGGGTTATTTTAAAAATTATAGTGATAATTATAACTGAGGAACTCAAGTCTTCTCGCGCATGTTCCACAATGATGGATTTAACCTCGCTTGCATATTACACGAACCACATGATCATGCACTCCTAATATGCTTGGTGAGTTTCTGATTTAATTTTCAAATATTCATTTATTTTGAAAGTTCTCATGACTTATCTTATCTCTTATGGCAACTTAGGGATGTATAATAACTTATATTGCAGGTATTGGGGAAATGTTACAAGCTCTCATTAGTCTTTACAGTGATTCTTAGCACGATTGGGCTATTTTACAGGTAGAGGAAACTCAGGAGGCAGCTGAGCGCTTGTAAATGACCTGCTGAAATTAGATGTTTTGCTGGGCCTGGTGACACCAAGAGGCTTGCATCCCAGGGTCCTGCTGGTCAGCTTTCATCTCCGGGCCCCACTACTTTTAGCTTTCAGCATCAGATGTCACTTTATTGCTTTGAGTCCTGGTTTCTTCATCTTTGATGGAATGATAGTTTGATCTTGCAACGATTTTAGTAATAATGTCTATAAATGCTGCTAACACAGCACCTCATGATGCTCAGGCTCAGTAGTGATTAACTTTCCAGAGTGTTGAGGAGGTATTGAACTAGTGAGGCTGGTTTACCTGAATGCCAAGCAGTTGCCTTAACCTCTTAAACCATAAGATGTAATTCGCCTCCTACATTTGCCAAAATTACCACTTTTTCCTAATATTTGTATATTTACAAGAGAGGTACGGGAAATTATATAATAGATTTGAAACTGAAAGTAATATTCAACCAAAGTAAAAGTTACATTTACTCTGTATACTTTGTTTTTTCTTTTTTTGAGACGGAGCCCTCTGTTAAGCCAGGCTGAGTGCAGGCAACTCTGCCTCACTGTGAATTTTTCACCAGTCCACCTACATACCTCCAGAGCAAATTCTCTGGGTTCATCGATAGCTGGGATTACAGTCATAGTACCACCATGCCCAGCCAATTTTTGCCAGCAGAGATTTTGCTTGCACATGTCAGCCAGGCTGGTCTCGAACTCCTGACTCTTAATGATTCACGTGGCTTTCGCCTCAAAGTGCTGGGATTACATGAACCACCTGCCTCAGCCACTCACATTTGCATATATATATGTGTGGGGAGATTACAGAGCAAAAGACTTGTCTTTTTTGTGTGTTTTCTTATAACAAAATCATCTAGGAGTCATTTTTCTCACTGTTTTCTAAGATAGATCAGTTAATTATCATGCCACATTTAATACCTTCTGAATTATATGTTAGAAACAGAAATAAACCTCATCTCAAAAAACCTTCACAAATAAGAGAAGAGAAAGAAAGAGAAAGAAAACAGTTCTGTTACTTGAATAAGTCTAAACCAGAAGGGGATGGTTTAAAATAATCACAGAGATGAAAGAAATCTCATCCTTCTAGAGCTTTGAGGACACAACTGTCCTAGTCTATGAGTCTATAAATAAAATATCCTAAAATGGATGGATTATAAATAATAGAAATTT